GAGTGTGCATGTGTTCGTTTGTCAGTGTCTGTCCTTGGTTTAACACATAATCCAATGGGAGTCTGGGATGAGAGTGCTCGTGCTTGAATCGTGAAGGAAGCCTGCAGGGGAGGAGGTGGGGAGTTCTCCAGACTCATCCACCTGTAAGCTGTGGGGCTCCCTCTGCGCAGGGCAGTGCATTTACTGCGCATTTCGCCGGGCATTAGAGAGTAGGGCAGCAAAGTCCAAATGCCCCCTGGACTGGAGTTCAGTGGCCGGGCTGGAAAACGCAAAGCCCCCCTGGAAACAAGAGTTGCAGGCAGCGCTCTGCACATAGAGTACGATCAACCAATCTAGGTCGTCTTCGTTTTCTTAGAGTGGGGGGGGAAAAACTGTTCTTGAAAGAAGGCAAAAAAACAAAACCCTTTTCCAAGCCTGCCGTGGAAGGTTAGCTCCTCGTTAGCAGAGTGGCCCTTCCTCTCTCTCTCTCGCTTGCTCGCTCTCTCAGGCTGAGAGTCTGAGGCGAGGGAGCCTGCAGGGAACTGGGGCATGAAGAGACGACGGTGGGGGGGGTGGTGGGGAGACGCTGGCACGTTCGTGCACGTTCGATGACAGGGGGAGAAGGAGAGGGAGGAAATGGAAGGTTTTTCGCAAGCAGATCATTAAGGAATCCATCACACGGGCAATGAAGGCCACTACAGCGTGGATACCCGTACTGAACCCATCCCAATGAACCCTTGTACCCAGACTCCCTCCTCATCGAACGCCCGACTCTCATGACTTATTCCCGGGAGGGAAGACAAACCAGCAGACCTCAGACCCCCCCACCCCAAGAGACCCCAAACGTTGCTCCTTGTACCCTGACGAACGGGACTCCGTGCCAGTGCGATGCCAAGAGAGCCAGATCACATAGAAAGTGAACTGCTGATCAAGCCGGGTAAACAAAACGTTAACAAAAGAGCCTTCAGCGCGTGTTGCGCCTGGCGGTTTCTTCTTTTTGAAGTCGGCGTCACGAGCTGGATGATTCATTCGAGGCAACCGGCACAGATGCGCTTAACGCTACTTCGAAGCCCCAAAAACATATTGCCTGCTGAAAAATCAGCAAACATGTTTGTGCTGAAGGGCTCGTGTTTGCAGAATTTGTTGGCGATGTGCGGTTGTGGGCATGGCTTGGCAGGGTAGCCCAGAAATATGTTATTGGTTTAACTAGCCACGTTCATTTACTTTCAAGACGTTGGATGTCATTACCCAGCCTGCCGTTTTCTCACCACCCCATCCGATGCAGGTTTGCAAGGGGAGCCGAAATCTATCCCAGCAAGCAATGGGCATGAGGCAGGGTACACCAAGGATAGGCAGCCAGTCCATCACAGGACCCACACAGACAAACACACTCGGACCAGGGGCCCATTAACCCACCAGCATGTCGTTGGACTATGGGGGGAAACCAGAACTCCCAGAGGAAACCCATGTAAACGGGCATCAGATCCTCATTTTATCCACTTCAAGCAAACCCCAAGCAATTTCATCCTGAACGTGCTCGTTTCCCGTCATCATACGTTAAAAGAGGGCAGACTTGTACATTTACAGACGTAGAGATAGTATGGTCCCGACGTTGTTCCTTTCCAATTATAGCATAAAATAGCATATAACCCTCTGCCAAACGGATATGTCTTCTCAATTCTCGGGGAGCCCTGCTGTTGCTCTCCGGGTGTTATTCCTCTCTCAGGGGTATGGGATGGTTATTGCAGCTCGCGCAGGGAAAGCCCAGCTTCCCCTCTCC